CTACATAAGGTTCCCAATTGTCTCATTTGGTCACAGGATTTATTCTTTGGCTGTGATTTTGTGTATAACATAAAGCCAATTCCTTCTATCAGAAGCTGGATATTTTGGGAAAAATCCATTTCTGGCTAGAAATACCACAGTCATAAAGCTTTTCAGTGTGTGCACCAGTGAATTAACAACATAAAGATAACAAGAGTCTATCACTGAAGGATTGCCTTTGAAGGCTGATGGCGCATTGACTTTAAAAAAGAACCTTGCCTGCCCATTTCCTCCCTCTCCCCACTTTTGGCAAAGTCCCATTAATTTTGTTGTAAGTTTTATTTTTTGCTGAAGATGCAGGAAATTTAGACAACTCTCTTGGAATTCCCCCAAAACTAATACAAACAAGATACATATGCTCCTCTTAAGGAAACTAAAAATAAATTATTTGAAACTATTTAACTGAATAAATTCCTTCTTAAAAGGAAAAGGAAGTTTATAAAATGAAAGGCAACTGAGTGCTGTTAACTAGGTAAAATATTCTTACAACTGCCAGCTTGTCTAGTTGATATTAAATTACTACTCAGCATAGAATTTGTTGGGCTATCATTTCCAACATGTACAAACAATCAAAAATATCTGAAATGTTCTCAGGGTCTTTGTTTTTACATCAAAATTGTCCATGATAAAGTAAGTATACTCCTCCCTTTTTTTTGGTCTGGGCCCATTCCTGTGATAGAAACTGTTTGCAATAAAAAGGAAAAATCATGCTAGTGAAAAAGATCCATAATATTTTTTTACCTCTCCACATTTTGTTGCTTAGTCAGTGATCCATTGGATTGTATCTGATGAGGTCATTTTGACACAGTACAGAAAAAACATGGTTAATTTTTAAAAGCATATCATTTTTATACAACCTTATTTTCTATAAATATATAAGCCAGTTTTTATACAGTATCCCCTAAAAGATCAATTTTATAAATTAATAAAAGTCAAATTTTTGACTAATTTAAAATTAAAGTTTGTGATTTTCTAGTACTTTCCATTTGTGGTAGTTGCATTAGTTTAGCAGCTTTGGAAAGGCATTTATCTTTTGCAATAATGTCTACAGTTAAAATAATTTCTCCCTTTTAAAGTATTTTAATATTTGTGTTTTAAAACACATTGTGTTGTACACTGTTTTAAAGCCTTTACAAATGCTAGCTCATTTAAGGTTCAAAAAAAAAATCAGTTGGGGGTAGTGGGTGTAGCTCAGTGGTAGAGTTCATGCTTACATGTGCAAAGCCCTGGAGTTCAATCATCAAGAAAAAAAAGAAAATCCAATAGTGTTAAATACCATTTGAAATTCTGGCACCCAAGTAATGATTGCATTACACAATCTTTTAGGTCTGTTTAAATGCTGACATTTGGCTGGTTTTGTAGTTTTAAAGAAATTCTCCTATCGCTTTCATACTAATTCTTTTTACAAGTAGTGATTATTGCCCAACAATGCTTTTTAAAAATGAAACATACTGAATTTCATTAATTTACTGCCATGTATGGTAGGCACCTACACCAGAATCCAGTCATAGTAGCAACTTAAAGATTCAAAGAACTTGCAGATTATGTTTATTAAGATTTTTCTTGGAAATTGGAATTAGTCAAAAGTTTGATATTTTGCTTTTAATACATCAAGTTCTCCTAGCTCATAATATACCCTCTGGCCAATGGTTATTTCATGATCTGCTTGGTGCCTTGAAGCTGGAATTGATCTTCCAACAGAAATAGAGGGGCCCACGGTATGGTTTCTAGGAAACAACTTATCATAGGAATTCTGGCTGTTTCTTAAAGGAAAATTAAAATAAGAGGTAGCAAAAGAACTATTGTCACTTAGAATTGAAGTTGCAAAGATTATATGTTTTGTGTCCAAGTTGACCACTTGGTATGAATGATGCAGAAGGGAAGGAATTCTAGCATTCTAGGGGTGGTATCTAGTGTAGCTTTTGAGTTTGCTTTATGATTTCATGTTTCTTTGATTAAATTCTAAGCTTTCTCAATACTAAGCTAAAGCATTACTGAATTGAATAAAATGACATATGTGGTAACTCTTGGTACAGTTCTTAGAACATAATAAAAACCAATCAATATAGATATCGGACTTCAAAGAAACCTCATTTTATATCTCAAGAAATAGTTCCTTTGAGAGCACTTATGGAAATAACTATAATTGACACATTAAGCTGCTGAGTCTTACTTCCTTGTTGCTAGGGCAAAATTTCCGACACCCACATGTTAAAGGAAGAAAAGTTTATTTCACCTCACAATTTGTAGAGGTTTCAGTCCATAATCAACTGGCTGCAGGGCAGGCTGGCATGGCACAGAGACGTGGCAGAGGAAAAGCAGTCCACAGCAAGGCAGGCAGCAAGCAGCAAGCTCCCTTTCCCTTTTATCCCATCCAGGCTACAAGTCTTTTGGGTGTTGCCACTCACAGCCAGGATGGGCCTTCCCATTATCCACACCCAGAAGTTGATAAACCAATTAGTGGACTAATCCTGTACCACGTACCTTTAATCCCAGTATCACACATCCAGTCACCTCTGAAAAGCCCCACTTATGACCACATGAAGCTCTTGAGGGGGACATCTAGATACAAGCCATAACATGGTGCAAACTAGTAGGACTGCTCATGTTGTGTAAACCCACATCCAAGAGGACTAACAGTGCCCTCTAGTTGTTAAACAGAATTTCACCAGAGTATAACCAGGAAGGAAACAAAACTTAACTCATAAAAAGAGTAGTTTTGGGCTGGGGATTTAGCTCAGTGGCACTGCACCTCCCTTGCAATCCTGAATTCAATGCCTGGTACCAAAAAAAAAAAAAAAAAAAAGTTGTGCTGAGGTTTGAAGAGTCTTTATTTTGAAATTTGAATATTCTAAATTATTTACAATGCTATATGTTAATATAAATATTGAATATTATAATCAGCGACTTTAGTTAAACTTACTCTAACTTTTAAACTGTATACAATTTCTCATTTTTTATTTCACTGTTTCATAACAGGAAAATACATAAGATGGTTTTTATCATGATAATCCAGTGAAATTAATCATTTAAAATATCTTTTGTATATTTTCTTACGTTATATTGTCAATTTGAGAAATACTAGACTCTGTGTTCTTGCCATTTAATTTATATGTCTGCAGCTGAATATAATCTATAAAAGATAGCATTAGACTTTATCAGACAAATAATCTAGAAGTTAGAAAAAATACCTAGTAGCTCCTTTAAATATAAAAGTTATTATAATTCTTAAACAGCTTTCAATCAGATTGATGCAGAGTAAAAACTACAACAGAGCATGTTTATTGATCTAAACTTTCTAGTTTATGCTTTCCTAACTTAGAATAAAATAAATGATCAATATTTTAGCTTGGGTTTAAATAAGCAGGTCATATTTGAGAGTTGGTTATGTTACCTTGTTTGTTTCAGCAAATTATTTAAACATTGATGATAAACTCTCAGTATGTTTGAAAGCAGAAATTGTAAGCTATCAGCAGATAATTTGAAAATGAAATTTAATGTATCAGGACTTAACATAATGGGTGTATGAAATATTAACATAAAATTGTATAAAAAGCTAGTATTTTGGCTTATATTTTTAAGTTCCCATGTTCCTAAATGATAAACTCAAAAGTATCCTCCTTGTCTAGTAATTAAACACTGGCTTGGTTACTTTGTCATTGCTGGGACAAAATACCATATACCTACAAATTAAAAGAGAACATTTATTTTAGCTCACAGTTTGTCGAGGTTTCAGTCCATAGTTGGCGGGTTCCAAGGCAGAGGGGGAGAGCAGAGCAAGAAGAATTCATCACATGGCAGGTAGAAAGCCCCACAACTCACTTCTTTCCCTTTTTATTCCATGCAGGCTACAAACCTATTGGTTGGTATCATCCACACCCAGGGTGGATCTTCCCTCTTCAGTAAATCCACCATCCACTCTCAGAACTATGCTAAGCTATGAGTAGACTAATCCAATATCATACCCACGACCTAGTCACTCCCAAAAGCCCCACCTATGAGCACATGAGGCTTTGAGAGGACATCTGGATATAAGCCATAACAAACCCCAAATGAGATTAAAAAAAAAAGTTGAGAAAACGGGTTGAGATTATTTTGTCAGCTCCAAATTTGAAGCCTGATTGCCTTCCTTTTACTCTAAAACCAAAATAGTAGTAGAAACAAGAAAATGTTTAAAATACATAGCCACACCCAAAGATGAGATGAGTATTTCTTAATGGACCTGAAACAGAATAAGGAGTCAAAGCAAGGAGCAGAGACTGCCACTGAGTCTGCTGAGCCTGTGATGTAGAAGGAAGCAGAAGTGGCTGGGAGCTCAGCTACTCACAGGGGTGAGATCCCCAGGTGAGAGGCAGCACACTTGTATCCAAGTGCCCTGCTAAAAATTAAGAGGTAGTCTAGATCTTTCATTGAAACACTTTTTTCATTGAAGCACTTAAAATGCTTGCTGATTGTTTACTTTGAGTTTTGCTGTCTGACAACCATCTTATGTTCAGATTCCCAAAGGCAATTAATTGAAGAAACAGTGGCAAAACCGTAGGCAGTTTATCTATATATATGAAGATGTAGATGACAGCATACAGAATTGAAGTTGTTTTCTGGGAAATACTAAGACCTTACCACTACAACTTTAAATTGTGAAAGTCTGATGATTTAGGGTAAATGTAAGTAAGCGTGTGTCAAATGAGTAGCTAAGTTCCAAATTTTCCTCTAGATTGGCAAATCTATAATTTATTATGTGAGATTTCTAATTGTCATCATACTGAGTTTAAACAATTTTTTAACTCAAATCCTTTAGCAGCTGATAAACCTAATTCTAAAGCTTCTTCACAGAAATAATATTGAAGAATTCTCCCACGTGGTTTTTACCGAGGTGTTAGAAAAGCAATTACTCTTACTTTGGTTACTTCTATGGCAAAGAAATAAAGACTGACTGTGTTGGAATTTCCTTCCTTTCTAAGGCACAGGACCTCAATGTCATTGAAGAAGTGATTCGAATGATGTTAGAAATTATCAATTCTTGCCTGACAAATTCTCTTCACCACAACCCAAACTTGGTGTATGCACTGCTCTACAAACGGGATCTCTTTGAACAGTTTCAAACTCATCCTTCATTTGAGGATATAATGCAAAATATTGATCTGGTGAGTATAAGTGAAGGTACTTGCTAAGATTCTTTATTAAGTACTAAACTAAAAAAGGTTTAATTTAACAAACTTTCATAGAGACACGTACAACAACAGTAAGAGTCCCATCTTTCAACATTACACTTCCAGTTTACTTTGTCATAGCAGTTGTTGCATTCTGTAATAAACATACACATTTAAGAGAATTGAAATCATACTTTATTTTATACAATTCTGTATTTTCTACTTAACATTTAGATCATCAGCATTTTTCTGTAATATCATTAATTCTATGAAAGTCTCATTTTTTAGTATCTGGCCTATATTGTGGATGTCCTAAAATATATTTAATTATTTCTAGCATTTTATATCAGTTCATAATTTTATGAGCAGTTTATAAATTTTATTTTACATGTTTAATGTTTTGTTATAGCTTTAAAACTAGAATCTTATTGGTTCTTCTTTTTTTTTTTTTTTTTGGTACCGGGGAGCGAATTCAGGACCTTGAGCTTGCAAGGCAAGCACCAGAACCACTGAGCTAAATCCCCGGCCCAAAAATCTTATTGGTTCTTACCAGCAGAGTCTCTGTGTTTTCAAGATTCAACACAGTCTGCCAAATTGCTTTCCAAGGACATTGTGCAGTTATGCATCTGTATGTAATTGTATTTTTCTACAGAGACCTATGGGAAGACTTGTCTCACTATGCTTTTGCAGCCTTGAGCATTAAAATGATTTTATTATTTGTCTTTGTATAATAAAAATGGCATTCCATTATTTTAATTTCTCTAATCACTAGGATAGCTGAAAAATTTTTGCAGGTCTGTGAACTTTTGCTTCCTGACCTTTCCAAAAAGATTTTTGCTAAAATTTTCAATTGCTGTAATAGTGTTTTCCAATTCAATTTGATCCCATGAACATTTTTTGAATAACTAATATGAGTCACAGTGTTAAGAGACCAGAATAAACTGAACAGCCAACACCTTGTTCTGTTACTCACATTTAACAAAATATTTCATAATTTAATTGTCACTCAAGCATAAATATGAGTTGAATAATAAGCACAGATACATACCTTTCTCTAGGTGTCTACTCAATAGTAGAATTTCTGGGTAATGTGTATCATACCAAAGTGTTTACTATTGAGCATTACCATTTTCTACTCTGACCCATGGTGTAGGAGAATTCCTATTGCTTTATATTCTAATTTCAGTAGTTTTGCCAATTTTGTAATGGCTTTTAATTTTAATTGTAATTCCTTGATTATAAATGACGATGAGCATATTTCATAAATTTAGTGGTTATATGAATTTCTTCTTTTATGAAGTGCCTGTTTAAATCTTTGTCAGTTTTTCCGTTGAGTTATTTATCTGCTTCTTACCAATGCTTTATTATTCTGTTATTTATTATTCTGTTAACCTATACATTCTAGGTCTTTCTTGGTTATGTATTACAAATGTCTAGTCACTAACTCAGTTACAGATTTTCTGACAAAATTCTAAAATTCTCAAAATGATAAAACAGATTAGGTAACAGTCTGCTTCATTCTTTTCTTGGAAACCTGCTTCCTGCCAACCCATTATGCCCTGGTTCTCTTGGTCAGCTGCAGGGGCTTCCTGGGAATGTCATACTACTCTGCTTTGGTTGAGCCCAGCTCCTGTGTCTTCCTCTTTTATTGGCTTACTGCTTTTTGTTGATGGAGTATACACAATACTAGCTTTCTGAGAAAAGGGTGATATGAGATAGATTTTTTAATTTAATACATAATAAAGGTACATTTATAGGGTGCAGTGTGATATTTCAGCACATATATAATGTATAATATCAAATTTGAGTAATTTGCATATTCATCGCACTAAATATGGATCATTTCTTCATACTGAGAACATTCAAAGTTTTCTAGATTTTTTTTTTCAATGCTAGGGATTGAATTCAGGGCCTTAAACAGCTAGGCGAGCACTGTATGACTGAAGTACACCTCTAGCCCTTAGATATTTTTAAATACAGGTTTTTAAAATATTTTATTTTCTGTCTGAAAATCTTTCTTCCTTACATATGACCCACTGTCTCTGAGCGTTTCTGTCTTTTGACCTTATGTTTTTAAGTTTTATGATATGTTGTACCTTGGTTAATTTTATTGAATGTTTGGAGGATCCTTTTGTTTAGAGGTTCATGTTTAGTACAAATACTAATTCTACCCTGCTACTTCCTTTCTATAAAACTCCTATTCATCCTTAGGAGACTTCTTTTTTCTTTTTTTTTTTTTTTTTGGTGCCGGGGATTGAACTCGGAACCTTGCATTTGCGAGGCAGGCGCCAGAACCACTGAGCTAAATCCCTGGCCCCCTTAGGAGACTTCTGATATCAGTATCATTAAATCTTACTTCTTGAACTGATCCATGTCCTCATGTAAGAATTGGCCAGGCTCCTACCTATGGTCTATAAGCCTCTCTCTCAGAGTTTTAAAAGAGGCTGGGCCAGGTTGGGGTTGGAGAGAGGGAGAGAGTGGCCTCTACACAAAAAGCTCCTGTTTGCTTTTCGGTGGCAGCAATTTATGGAAGTGTGCATAGTTTCCAATCAGATTTCAGATATTTAAAAATGTCTTTATCCATTCTTGTAAGAGAGTTTACCAAAGTAGGTTAATCTTTTGCTCATCCCAGTAGAGTCTTAGGTAGTTGTTAGGTACTGAATTAAGTCAACTTCAGGCCCCACCTAGCCTACCATTCAATACTCAACACATAGGCTGTATTTACTGCTGAATACTCTAGAATCTTCACAACCACCTGTGAATTTAACTAGAGTTGATTATACTCTTGCAAACCTGATCAGTGGTCTGCTCCATATCACTACTGCTTAATGATTACTGATAAACAGAAATAAAAATTAAAACTCTTTGCTGTCAGATTAATTCATGTGTTCACTGGCTTTACTATATGCTCAAGGTTGTAGCTATAGCAGAGTATTTTGCCATCCACACTTTCATCATTTTCCTAAACTTATATCATCAGCATCATGTAGGTATCATTAACAACAGTAGGCATTTGAGTACAATTGCCATCAGTGCAGTCAAGATGATGTAGAAGCACCATTTTTTACCAGCATGTTTGTTTCTTCATTTAAGACTTGGCATTTTTAGGCAAGTTTTTAAGTTCTTACCATTATGAACAGGTACTTCCATGTAGACTTCTAATATTAGGATGTATGAACACATTTTCAAGCTGCTTCTCACATTTTTTTCTTTTCTGGCTCCATGTTCTTGTTAACTGTGGATTTAATTGCTATAAACTCTTTTAAAATTAAGAAGTGTAGAGTTGGAGAGGTTGCTGAGTGGTCGAGTACTTGCCTGTCTAGCGTGCATGAGACCCTGGGTTCAATCCCAGTACTGCCCCCTACCCCCAAGTTGAGAAGTATTAATGTTAGTAAGACCATGAAACAAATTATTCCCCACGGGTATCCAACACAAGTTACCTCTTCTTCTTTGGTAAGTTAGATGATCTTTGATGACTGGGTAGATTGTGGTTTATAGTTTAAGAATTAATATATGCTTTGGTAAGATTCTTGAGAATGCAGAAACACCAGAGATTGGGGAATGCAGTCCCTGCTCTGATCCTAGCTCTCAAAGTAACTCTCCAGAACTTAGGCAGATCCTTTATCCCTTCTTAGCAGTTTATTCCTAATAAAAATCTTAAGGATTATAATGTCAACCAGAAATTCTTTTATCTCTGTGAAAGCAACTTTTAGATTAGCCATCTACTTATTTCTAAAAAATATCCTTAAAAGCTGAAACAGAATAAAGATAGTTTCCAGAAAAAATGGAGGCAATGTATTGTAGCAGGTGTGTACTAAAATGCCAAAGAAATTTATTCAAGTAGAAGACATATCATACCTGAAAGAAATTTGCATCTACAAAAAAAAAATTGAGTTCCTGAAATGGTAAAAATTAGGGCAAACATAAAAAAGCTTTTTGTTATGTTGGTTCAATCTGTAACTGTCTTTCTAAAGAAGAAGACATCATGCCCTTTCTGTAAATGGCCAGATAATTAATATTTTAGGCTTTAGAGGCTACACAGTCTCTGTTCCAGCTATTCAGCTCTATTGGTGTACTTCAGTTGCAGTAAGTAAATAAATAGGCCTGGCTGCATTATTTATAAAAACATCCTATAGGGCCAGGGATTTAGTTCAGTGGCACCGCACCTGCCTTGCAAGTGCAAGGTCCTGAGTTCAATCCCCCGTACCAGGAAAAAAAAAAACCAGACCACAAACCAGGTTTGGCCCACACGCTATAGGTTGCTCATGGACATGAATGCAACAGTCCTCAACAAAAGCTTAGCAAAATGAATCTGATCATATATCAGAATAATAATCTGTCACTATCAGTTAACATTTATCCCAGGAATGAATGCTGTTTCAACATTTAAAAACTCAATTCACATTAACACAGAAGAAAAACCATATGATCATCTCAGTACATACAGAAAAAGCGTTTATTAAAATTCAGCATTTTTTCATGATAGAAAAAATTCTACTAACCAAATTTTTTTTTTTTTTTGGTACCAGGGATCAAACTCGGGTCCTTGCACTTGCACAGCAGGTGGCAAAACCACTGAGCTAAATCCCCGGCCCTGCTAACCAAATATTAAAGAAAACTGTCATAATCTGGTATGATGCTTAACTTTTTTTTTTTTTTCCTACCGGGGATCGAACTCGGGAACTTGCACTGGTGAAGAGGTGGTAGAACCACTGATCTAAATCTCCGGCCCTTAACTTTTTGAAAATAGTAAAACTAATATGCATTTTTGAAAGGAAAGAATTATGCATAAATTTAAATTCACCTGTTAATCCTATATAATTTGAGTATAATGACCTTTGCCACCAAACTCAGTTCTTAAAATTTTTTCACCTGTGTGCAGTATAAAATCAGGAAATAGAACTCCAACAAAGAAGCCATTGCTTAGATAACTGGTAGTGTTAGTGGCATCCATGGGTTTCTTTGTTAGCAGACCACTTTCACATGCTTTACCATTACTGGTTCTTGTGTGGTAGAAGTGGCATCTTTGTCATTTTGTGAATGAAAATCCTGAAGTACACTTCATAATGATGATAGCTAACCTTTTGTGACACTTAACATGTGCAAGGCATTTTTCACTTGGCAGATAATTCTCACAACACTACCATGAGATGGGCACTACATTTTTCCCCTCATTTGTAGATAGGACACCGAAGCATAGGGAAGTTAGATAACTTGCCAAGGCTTTAAGAAGAGCTTGGATTTAAACCCAAGCAATTCTACACTGGGTAAGTTCTCTAAACTGCTGCATGATGTCTCTGGAAGAAATTAAGTTCTTTACAAGTCATATGCTAGTAAGTATGGACCCAAAGTAGGCCTTTTCACTTTGAGTAGTTCTTAGTCTACTCTACAGTGATGTCCAACCTATTAATTATACACATTTGATCTGTGTCTTATCTCTCCAGTTGTATTGTATCTTTCCTGAAGACAGAAAATAGTATCTTTCCCCTTGTGAATCCTCTGGAGATCTCTTCTCATAAGGAGGCTGTCAATAAACATATTGATTAAAACACAGAAACTTGAGGGAAAACCAAAACAAGTCAGTGAGGAAATATGTATTTTACTTTCTAAAACATGTTTGCTGTTGTCTTTAAGAACAAAAAGCTTAGGGGCGGGGGATTTAGCTCAGTGGTTTCTCCACCTGCTGCGCAAGCGCAAGAACCCAAGTTTGATCCCCGGTACCAAAAAATAAAAATAAAAAAACCCAAAAAGCTTAGCTTTCTACTTTTGACTCTTGGGAGAGTGACTGTTAATAAGGAAGAATATGCTGGCTCTTTTTTACCCTTATCCACCCCAGCAGTGCTTCTTATTTCTGTGTGTGTGTGTGTCTGTGTGTGTGTATGTGTTTTCCCAAGTCATTTATTTTATTGTGCATGCATGTGTGTGTGTGTGTGAGTGAGTGACAGGGTCTCACAAGTTGCATAGGCTGGGCTCAAATTTGTGATCCTCCTGCTTCAGCCTCTCAGATTGCTGGGATTACAGGCATACACCACCACACCCAGCAGAAAATCTTCCTTTTTGTGAATCTGTGATGTAATACTCATTCACCATTTTCAAGACAGGTAGGTAAATGTGATTTTGAGATTACCTGAAGAGTACAGCTGATTAATCAGAACATGACATTGGACAATCATGGTTCAAAGCTAATAGTATAATGGGAGGTAATATGCTGTACAGCACTTGGATTTCATGAGATCCCCGTAAATATGGTAGCTGGAGGAAGCTGTAAAACATGCACTGTGGGAAAATGCTTTCCTTTGAAAGGTTGCCTTTGAGTTATATTAAAAAAACATTCATTCCATTTTAGCTAAAAGTTCTACTTTAATTTTCTTCTATTTTTAGCTATATCTTGAACACACAATTTCAGAGGGAAAACGTGTATCTGCTTTAGCAGTTTTAATGGGTGTTGTCCACAATGATTAAAATCTTATCTGTGGGCCAAGGATTTAGCTCAGTGGTTCCATTGCCTGCTGCGCAAGTGCAAGGACCCAAGTTCAATCCTTGGTATCAAAAAAACCCAAAATCTTATCTGTGAAGTCATCACTAAAATAGAGCATGCAAAATTTTAAACTGTCAGTAAGAAATACAAGATCTTATCCTTGAATATTTTTTACATTCTTTGCTGATTTTTCAGTCTGCTTCCATCTGAAAATTTTCTATTTAAAAAAACTAAGCTTGTGCTCCATCTTGCTGTGTAAGCATAGCTGAAGACATGATGAAGTCAGAAGAAATACCTGAGTTTTGATCTGTGATATTCACCTGTGTAACTTTGGTCTCATCTCTTGTCTTTCTGATCCCATTTACTCATCTGTGGGACAGAGATTTTATCAACCTCATAAATTCTCTGTGGGAATGAAATAAATGCATATGAAGAGCACATAGTCCATAGTAAGCATTCAATAGAGGTTCCTTTCCTTCCTTCGTGATGTGTAAATTATATTTCCCTTCTGGAAGTGGTAATTTTTCATCATTTTCTAGAGTAATGTCACTTTGAATCCAGAAACTTTAGAATATCAGCCTTAAAACAAACAAATAAGAGACATTGAAAAAAGAAATTTACTTAGAACCTGAGCTTCATGGCTACTCTACAACTCTCCTGATGGCTTGAAAATTTCTTGCAACTTAGAAGCAAGCCAGTGTAGGCCATAGAGTGAGCAAAATGGGACTATCTTCTCATCACTTTGTCCTTCAGGGATGTGACATGTGAGCACTCGCTCTGATGTCTTTGAGTATGTGAACACTGTGTGCTCCACTCAGCTTTGTTACCTCAATCAGCAATCTCCTAGAAGGATGCATAGACCCTAGAAGTTGCAGGAGGAGGATGGGAAGAATATATTGCAGCTTTATTTGTTCACTAAAAATAGATTTTGTTTTACTAGTAGTATTGGCACTGACATTGTTCCAGGATCGACCCCAGAACTCTGGGTATCCTGAGGGAAAGCACAGGAGGCCCAGCATGTCCACTCACCTTGCCATTCCCATGATTTTCTTGTAGAATTGTGTTTCTAGTTGTAGTAGCTAGATTCAGTTAAACAAGCCTCCACAAAATACTGTATTATATTACCCTCCACGTTGAAGTTAATACTGTATGTAGTATCAGTACACATGACAAAAATAGTGGCAGAAATGACATCTCCCTCAAACTAGAACAGGTGCCATGTTACGAAGTGGAAACAGTGATGAACCCATCTATAAGAAATGTATCCATAAATATTATCAGGAAGACTATTTCCAGTATGGGTTTATATCAACTGTGATAAACAGTGTTTCTTACTATGAATGTGTGTTTTACTTGCTGATGATAATGTGAAGCCTTTGTGATTAGCAAGATTTATGGTATCCAGTTATCCAATTATTTTCTTTTTTGTTGTTATGTTTGTGTGTGTGTGTGTGTGTGTGTGTGTGTGTTGCTTGTTTTTTGTTTTTTTCTGTACTGGGGATTGAACCAAAGGTCCTTGTATCACTGAGCTACATCCCCAAACCTTTTTATTTTTTATTTTGAGATGGCCTCTCACTAATTTGCCTAGGCTGGCCTCAAACTTGCAATCATCCTGCCTCAGCCTCCTGAGTAGCTAGAATGATATTTTAATGAGTACAAAAAAGCTTTCTGTATCAAAAGTTAAGTACTTTTAAAATCTAATTTGTTCTCTTTATCTCATTTTAAAATTTTTCTTTTATGTACACTTCATGGTATATAAAATAATATTGAGAAATATTGCATAATTTATAAATAATTATAATATATATTGCAGTACATCCTCCCCCCTTTTTAAAAAAATTTGTAAGCATTTACAGTAAAAACGTTTAGAGACTTCTAATGTAGATTCTGGCTGTCATCAAAATCACCTGAAGAGAACAATGTAGGTTTCTGGTGAGGCCTAGGATTGGTATTTCACAAGGCTTTCCAGCTACTGTTTATGGCCAGTCATGTCTGAGAACTACTCTTTACCCTCCTTATCTACAACTATGAGCTAAACAGCTCCAATATTGAATGTCTGCTGTCAGTAAATAGTAGAAAACTGTAAGTCTCAAGCATCTACCTACTGCCTAATACCTTTTCATTTCTTAGGATGTGTTTTGAACAGATATGCTTCTACTCTTTAACCATTTTTTAGCAGAGCAGCTTCACTTTCCGGAACAAATTACAATAGCATTTGTGTAAAACAGTGTACTTTCTACTAAAAGTGTTCACTGTACCCTACCATCATTAATATATAGGAGATAATTTAAAAGAAAACATTAAAATACCCACAAAGAATTGTTTATGTATTTTACCTATAAAACAGAAAATATGTAAAGGGAAAGTTCAACTTTAGAAAATAAATTCTCTATGTAAGTCTGACAATTTTGTTTATATCATTTTTGGTTTGTTTGGTTGGTTTTTTCACAGTATGGGGATTAAATCCAGAGTGTCACACATATTGGACAAATACTGTATCACTGAGTTATATCTCCCACTCCTGTCTTAGTTTTTAGTGACAAATATGTAGATGCTATTTCTAGAATGCTACTGTGTTAGCATCTTGCAACATAGTTCAAGCTGTGCTCTGACATGAAACAAAAGTAATTGTAGCTTGCTGTTGATTATCCCTGGTGATCGGGGCTAAGGATGATGTGGATAAGTAAATTCATATATAATACCAAAAACATCATTTTAGCCATTAACTGAAAGTTCTTTTCCTATTAAGCCTTTTTCCCAGACCTCTTATTAAGCTTCAAAACTGACAGGGTCTAAGATTTAGCTTTTATTCCCCACCTTCTGCTGGCAGCTTTCTAAATGAAATATAAATGCAAGGTGGGGTACCACAACAAAGAGCAGAATTCTGAAAGCCACTTAATTCACAGAGTGAATGAATGATCAGCCCTGACTGTCTGGGCTTGCCTCTCATTTAACCATCAAACCCTGTAAAGGGAGGACTACATTTAGGAAGATAGGTAAAGTAAAAGCCATGTCACTTTAGAAATGGAATTATGATGGTTTGACTACCATGTGACAAAGGCATCTGCTGAAAATACATCATATACAACTACTTGTTTAAAAATAACTCTTTACATTACAGGTGATCACCTTCTTTAGCTCAAGGTTGTTACAAGCTGGAGCTGAGCTGTCAGTGGAACGGGTCTTGGAAATCATTAAGCAAGGGGTTGTTGCACTGCCCAAAGACAGACTAAAGGTAAGATGGTTAAAGACACGTCCCCTAACACATACTGCTGACTCACCTGACACAAATATCAGTGTCTAACCAGGCTCTGTTTGGAATCATTCTGCATACCCAGAACTTGTGCTAGAAAGGCTCTCTATGTATTGCCTACACTGTGGTGAAGGTTTCTGCAGCTTTTCAAAAGAAAACAGCAAAATCTTCATATTCTGCATATCTTGTAGTAATTCATATTCTGTCAACAAAGAGGCATGTTATTTTTTTAACTCTGAAATAAGTTCAGTCTTACAAGTATTATCAAGGGCTGATGGGAAGGTGGTAAAAATGATCACTACAACAATAGCTAATACTTATATAATGTGTTTACTCATTATCATGCAGGGTTCCCTTATTTTACATATATCAACTCATTCTGTCCTCATAAGGACTCTTTAAGATTGGTACTGTTGTCCTCTGAATTTTTCTGGTGAGGAAAACAATGTAGAAAGAGGTTAAGAAACTTCCCTGAAGCCATACAACTAGAAAATGGTTGAACTGGAGGGTCAGATGCAGGAAATCTGGCTCCAAAGCCCTTGCTCCTGATTGCTACATTATTTACTGTATGCCTGTGATATAACAATGGAAGGAGAAGCATTTCCTGGAAAAGGTAGGGCAGGTACTGGATTAAGAAGATACTCACATTTGTGTGGTAGATGTGTTCCAAAAATGATCTCATTTACAATTCATTCTTCAAGACTAATTATCCCATAGGGAAAGATGTAAAGGGAATATTTTAGGGGATGCATGAATGTATAGCATTGGAGCATAGTTTTACTTTAATACTTCTTTTTCTGCTTGTCCTTCATTAAGTCTAATTTTTGTACAGTTCTTTGTCCTAAATTAACAACACAGGCTCCCACACTGGATGTTTGGCCTTCATTGCGTTTTATCACAACCAACTTGTGTTCCACAGATATTGTTTGAGGGCTGTGTTTTCAGCGCTATCACTAGACCCACTGCCTAATGGATGCTTGAGAGATATTATTGTAAGATATAAAAATATTTTCAATTATAACACGGTTTGTAAAATAACAGCATATTAGTCATCCTAATCATGTACAGAAGTTCCACTACACATAAACAGCAGTGAGATTAACACAGTTCTGAGGTGTTTCTGCTGATCAGCCAGTGGCACCACAGTGTGGTGACAGTGTAAAAACTGATTACAATTCATAGCTCCTCCATCTTTCACATTATTTATTCGTGACAATTTTTTAAATTTAAGGAATTTGCTTATTCCTATTACTACATAAAATAAGACATTGGTTTATTGATTTGTTTTCTAGGGTTTGGGGTGGTTTTTTTTTCACTGTTTCAATTTTATTTGTACTATGTACCGTATGAACTAGTTTAAAAAGCCATGAAGGTGAAAGTGACTGTGGTCCAGAAAGTGATGGCCCTCGTTCAGCTGAATCCAGAAGAAGTGAAATGCTAAGAGACTGTTAGAAAAGGATAATACAGAAAAGATGGGGAAAGAGAGATTTTGAGAAGATCAAAGAAAGAGCATAGTGGAAGTAAAAAAGAAGATTGTGATTAGAGAGCAGTGTTTTTAGACTACAATTTTAAAAGTGGTACAGATCTAGGTGATAATGTGGTCCAGATTTGGCCATGAGTGTGAGGGGCTGAAATAGTACAGATGTAGATGAAAGTCAGTGTGGCTGAGTCGGATAATGAACTGAGCGCCTAGGGTAAATGAGACTGTCACCTAGCAGTCAGTGGGGGGCAGGTTCAAGGAAGAGAATAGACCAGTGTCCACCTCTCATGATTAGAATTTTTTACTTAAGGGTAGAAAAATAATAGCCAGGAAATGACAAAGAAAGTAAAGAGAACACCAGCTCTACCTCCAGACCCTGAAGGATGGGGGCAGGAGTCCTGAGTAGAGAGCCCAATTTCAGTTAAAGAAGAGATAAGAGAAGACTGAGCACAAGGTCTGAGAATGTGCTTAATAACCACAAACACAGGTTTAAAAATGCACAGTGGTGTATGGGTGGAAGGAAGAAACAGGAGATTGGATCAGGGAAGAGAAAGCACAAGAAGTAGCAGGACAAAAGTACAAGAGAAGATAACTGGCGGGATGACTTGTGTTTAAGGCAAAGACCATTGAGATAAAGAGGTGTAACATTTTCAAGCTTGCCACAGGTCTGTCAACACTGAGTATATCTTCATCAAGCTGCTCTGTGACAGCTATTGTTCTCGATATTTGGGCTACATCAGTGAGCAAAGTTCCATGCTCTCTCCTGGGGCCCACAGTCTAGCAGGAGGGACAAACAGTAAGAAGTAAGCATAATAAATAAGAAAAAGATCTAGTATTCTAGTGTGTTAGAACATAGTCAGTGTATGAAAAATAAAAATAAACCAGGCTAAGGGGATTTGAGAGTGTCAGTAAGGATGTGGTAGGAGAAAGTTTTAGAATTACACAGGGCAATGTTTAGTAAAGTTAAGAAGATGAGGGAGTTAACCCTACTGATACTGGAGTAAGAAGAACCACTGAAGAAGTCTTGTGGCAGGAGGATGCCAGGAATGTTAAAGAAGGAGATGAGAGCAGCTAGAACCAGGTGAGCAAGGGAGAGGAGTAGTGGGTAGGCAGAGATGATGGTGGGAAGGAAGAAGTGAGTACACATCATAAAATGGGACCTGGGAGACTGTTGGTAATTTTGTGTTTTGTTTTTGTTTGTCTGAATGAAATGGGAAGTGGTGCATGATTTGGGAAGAAGAATGGTATGAGATGGTTAACATTTTACTAACAATTGGGCTACTGTATTGAGAAACAGTGGGAGCTCTTAGAGGGCTATTGCTTGTCTTGGACCATAGTGGTGAGAGTGAAAGTATCAATGGAAGTAGTTCAAAAAGTTGTCTGGAGGGGAAGGGAGAACACTCAGTCCCCTTAGGAGATAGCTATAGTCTGATTGCAAGAGCTCCAGGGAATGTGGCTAGAACCTAGGTTCTGAAATAGAGTAGTTAGAGATCTAGTCATTTTAGGAGAGTTGTTTATGGAAGTGGATTTAAATTTGGTCTGCATGGTTGTCTTAGTCTCTTTCCTCATCACTGGGACACAATACCCAACACTGGCAACTTAATGAAGGAGAAGTTTATTTTGGCTCACAGTTTTAGTTGGCTAGCTCCAAGGCAGGACGGCATGCCAGATGGGCATAGCAGAGGAAAGGTTGCTCACATCGTAGCAGCCAGGAAGCAGAGTGAGGAAAGGAACCAGGGAGGGAGATATACCCTACCAGATCACACCCCCATAAACCTGCCTCTTCAGGCCAGGCCCCATCTCTAACATCATGTTTAGATATAGAAGTCCTGTGGTCCATTCACCTTCTAAGATGCCCTACTTGTGAGCCCAGGAAGTTCTTGGGGTCATCTAAAGATAAATCATAACCATGATCTCAAAGAATCACGATTCCAGATTGCAAAACAATCTGGAAAACTTTCTAGTGTTAGTTAACCAAGTCTGTCATGGATAGAAGCCTGCCTCTACTTTGTCAGGTGTTGTGGAGCTCAGCAGTATGTTGTGGGTCAGTGTGCCACTAGTGTAGAGAAGCTGTCTGTGCTAGACTCTTAAGAGCAAATTTTTGTGAATGCCATGCCTAAGACAATGAGGAAAACTTTCAGAGAATCACCAAAATTGTGAAATAACATAGGGAATGAGTAGAGGAGCTCAAACTGTTTTTTTACTTGTTTGTTTTTTCGTTTTTTGTTTTATTTCGTACCGGGCATTGAACTTGGGACCTTGCGCTTGTGAGGCAGGTGCCGGAACCACTGAGCTAAATCCCCGGCCCACAAACTGTTTTTATTAACCTTAAGAAAAGATTTGGCTCAGTGGCACCAAGCCTGCCTCACAAGCACAGGGTCCTGAGTTCAATCCCCGGTACCAAAAAAATAGAAAAGATTTGAGCCAAAGAGTACATGTATTCAAGTACTGGAAAAATTGTTTATAGGAACATATTTGATCTTATTATGAGTGATCTCATGGAATAGGACTAGGATCAATGGTTGGAAGCTACATACAGGGACACATATTTCAGTCCCGTATAAGGAAGAGCTTTCTAACTAATGGAACTCTTTAGAGATAGAATGGGCAGATTTGGGGAAGTGACACTTTCACTCTCGCTGGAGATGTTAGAGTAATAGATTGATGGGCACTTGGCAAGGATATAAATGGTTCTATCTTGAATGTAATTCTTGCCTATTGCTACTAGCTGGCTAGATAGTGAATGGAAGAGGAGTCTAAGGCTGAGTTCATGTTGAGTTGAAGGAGCTCTGAGATCTGTTACCCATGCTTGCCCTGGCAACAAGAGCCACAAAGGAGCACATGTATAGTTCTTTGCCATTCCAGTTGTAAATATTCAAACACATAGTTAGAAATCTGTGAGGGCCAGGGATGTAGCTCAGTGGTGCCGTGCCTGCCTCCCAAGCACAAGGTCCTGAGTTTGATCCTCAGTACTGGGGGGAAAAGGAAAAGAAAAAAAGAAATCTAACTGTGTTACCTTTAAGGATCTTTGCAATCCTAAGCATATAATTCTATCTATGCAAGATGCTAAAATTACCATTCTTCCCAAAGGGGGAACTGTGTCAATTTTTGATGACAGTTCTCTCAAAATGCAAGAAACAATAAGAAAAACCTATGAATGTGGGCTTTTTTTATGACAGACAGCCCAATTTTTAGTTCATAATAGCAGAGGGCATAGACAGACCTGTATGCCAGAAGAAAGACAAATTGTTAAAAATCATATATTGCCCATAATAAAATAGAGTTTAAGAGGGATAAAAAATTAAAAATTTTATATATATATATATGTATATGCGCGCGCGCACACACACACACACACACACACACACACACACACACAGAGTTTGCCCCCAAAAAATGTATACATGCTTCAGGAAAAGAAAAGCTTGGTTAAGTATTTCATATTTTAATACTAAATCTATTGAGATGTCATGAGATTAATACAAGTTAATACAAGTTTGGC